ATAGAAAAAATCTTCAGTGTTGAGCCCTGCTGAGGGATAGACAAGCAATAGAGAAATGGAAGATTAACATAATAAATTTTTTAATAATATAAAAAAAATTATAATAATAATAATATTTTTGTTCATACCTAAAAATGCATCAATGAATATCACTGAATTAGAAATGCAAACTAGTACATCTACAAATATATTCAAAATGTTGATATATTCAAATCTTGTCGATTCTTAGCCCCTATAAAGCAACTAATGTCAAGGTGATTTTTAATGTGTGAAGTTTCTCAAGTTCACACAGGTGCAGTTTATCATTATAAACAAGTTTTGACAACCAGAAAGTATCTAAATATTTTAGTCTTTATTTGTTGTAACATTAACTATTTTGCATTAAAAAGTGTGCTATAAATAAAAGATATTCATTAATTTTTAAGTGTGACTTAAGTGTCCAAATTTTCAGGGCCACTGGATTAAATTTCAGATTTTGTGTTAGAAAATAATTATACTTTGCTTTTCTATGTTCAAACCTAGGGCTGAACGATTAATTGCATTTGCGATAATATCGCGATATGAAAAAACGCGATTTTTCAATTGCAGAGGCTGCGATTACACTCGGTCACGTGACACACGAGAGTAAAGAGGTGTGTTCGACTTGAAGATCGATCGGTGTATGACATCAAAGTACGGCGAGAGAAAGCATAAGGAGACGTCCGCTCTCTTATAGCTCTCGCAGTACTTTGATGACACACGCACAGACCCAGGCAGGTGCTGGTCATTTAAAAGCTAAATGCAGAAAATATGACGAGGCATATCGCCGTGTCTATACCGGATGCTACAGTTGACGCGTCGCGCCGCAACAGCTCTACAGTTTATAGCTTGTCTTTGTTGAATAATACAGAACATAAAGAGCTTTAAAAAATAATTGCATATTAAATCGCAATCGCAATATTGGTAAAAAAAATCACAATTAGATTATTTTCCAAAATCGTTCAGCCCTATTCAAACCTTTAGTAAACCAGGACCTTAAGATGGTTTGGCTCAAACAATCAAGTCATCAAGTCTCACAGCTACTTCAAGGGTAAACAATAACAAGAACAAAAATTGAATTTAGCAACACACCACAGTTGAGTATAAATTCATTACAAGCAAGTTTCAAATTCATTTGACAGCTCTTAAAGGTCACAATGTGTTTTAGCCTGTATGTTAATTCTTTCACGGCACATTTACATTTCATTTTGTCTTTCTTCTACGGTAAATCTCCCCTTACATAAGCCCTTCACTGTTGTCTAGAGTTCTGAGAGCAGGGCTCTCTTTTGTTATCATCATGTTGACAGAGGCTGACCAATTAAAGGGCCCTGCTCTGATACTGGGCCGTGACACCAACCTGGTGCGAGGTGTAAGAGGCCACCGCGTCACAGGAAATGTACCCTATGGCCACCTTGCTCAGCTACACATGTTCCACATCAAACTTTGCTAATTAGCAGAGAATCTGGGAGCAGCAATGATGTGTGTGTGTGTGTGTGTGTGTGTCTGTGTGTAAAAAGTTTGGATTCTTCCGGTCACATGTGTGCATGATTGTTCTTCTCATTCTGCTTACAAGTCAGCTGATCCGCATAAAGTACATTAGTATGCATACTTGTTTGCGAGAGACTTTGCGTGTGTGTTGGACAGAACGCAACTAAATGACTTTGTGTGTGAGTGTGTGTTCCATTAGCTGGGACAGCTGTAATGAGCTTGGGTTGCAGTGCCAGTGCCAGCAGAAGCTGAGAGCATTGCCTCCTAATGGGGCCGTGCAGATGCAATCAAAGCCCAGCCGTGTGCTACTGACTCATCCTCGCCATCCGAATCAACACCCCATATGTGTTCGTTTTGGTTGTTTATACATATCTCAAGCCCTCCATGGGAATTTCTGTCATATTACACTGGGAGTCGCGTTCTTCCTGACTTCTTCAGAATTGGCATTTTCCCCAGACACATCATCTCACATGACTGATGATCCTCTATTCACTTGACTTTAAAGTGAAATTTCAAACAGACTCCATGAGCACGGTTTTCTCACAGCATCCATGAAAGCGCTTTTTATCAGTCTGTGCTTTTATCGGTCTCGGTGATGTGAGCATCGGGATGCGGCGTGAGAATGAGCCCGATTATGTTAGCCCACATAAAGCGCTCCACCGCTAACTCATCTGCCTCAGCTGGACCATGTGTTAGACTCCCAGATAGAGCAAAAGGAGGGTCTCACCTAGAACTGTGACAACCCACTGGGCCATAAACACTCTCATGCCCTTGAGGGGCTCATGGGAACCAGCTGGTTGGGAGATTGTTGCTCCAGTTTGTACCATGCCTGCATGCGCTTCTGAGTAGTGTGGCCCGAAGCTTTAAGCCTCTCAGGACTGGTCTGGGATCAGTATTCATGCCGTAAGGCCTCAGAGAGTTCCTCTGCTACCTGCAATCTGGGTCAGTTTACGCATTATTTTACAGATCTTCTCCCAGTGTGGGAGTAGAAATAGACTCTGTACTAACAGAGATATGCAGGTACAAACGCTCTGACACGGAGTCTGAACAAGCACAACTCTTAGAAACATTCAAACACAACAATAACAGAAAAAAACACCACTAGTTCTCATAAATATTACAATATCAAAAAAAAAAAAACATGCACCTGCATGTACACACTGTGAAGTTTCAGGAGTGACAACTGCATTTAAAAACAGGAGTGAATCCCCTAAATTATTGTTCCATGTGTGTATGGAACACAACTCACACCTGACATTGCCAAATACTCATTATATTCAGTGATTTTAACCAAATCACCATCAACAGAGGTGTGGTATTTTGTTTATTTTCAGATATTTGCTTCACAGAGCATGTTCTTGCAATTTTGCCACATCCACTTTTCCATTATTTATTTTTTTAAGTAGCCTATATGTTTGCATGTCTTTTGATATGGACCTTTGAGTCGGAAACAAAGTAAAGTGTATCTTTAAGTGTACATGACATGTACAAGTGTCTTTGGGCTTGGCTCATAAAGCGATCCAGTTCATGGAGTTGTTAAATTGGGTAGGTTTGGTCTTCCAACATAAAGCATTTGGATTTATTTAGGTTTATTATGGGCTTTTTCTTGCTTGCAGGCTTTTTTTCTTTTTTTTCTAAAAAGACCTGACAACACAAGTGAGTCAAGACTTGAACCTTGCTCTGTCACTGTGTTTTTCTTGCAAAAAGCGAGACATCTCTGATAAGTGTTTAAATATGGCATTAACAACTAGTTGTTCAATTCGGTTCCATCTACATCTGCATAGAATTTTTGTAAATGCGGTTGTCACTACCTGCATTTTTCAGGAGTTAGCCTAATTCAGTTGTAGAATGCAGTTTTCACTCCTGTGTGCACAGAACAGGATTATGCACTAAATGGTGAACTGACACCCAGATTCAGCTGCAGTGTACATGTCTTAAAAAAAAAAAAGTACATTTAGCTATTTTTCATTCATACCTGACATACATGCACAAACATTTCACTATTTTCCACTTCATATATCATGAACCAAACATAATTATCACCACCGCTGTAACAAAATAAATGAGTTATCTATACAGCCTACTTTTTATCTTGCTGTATATGCAGATAAGCAGCCATCTGTAGCCATCTAACCAAAACTTGCATTCAAGCACAAAGGATAATTAAAGGTAATAGATAACAGTATCAGCAGAATGTGACATGCAGGGAAACGTGTCACTGCTGTGCACTTTGAAGATGCTGTGGTTAAGATAATGAGGACCTGGGTATTAATGAGGCTCCCTTCTTATATTTTCTACACACACACAAACTCTCTTACACACTTAATTGCTGCTGCAGCTGGTGCTTGTTGGGCCCATAGTTTGCTCCAGAGGCTTTTGAGTAATGCTAAATCTATGTTTGGAGTGCAATGCTCGCTGACATTCATGTCACATACTCTGACCCTCAGTTTGAATAGGAGTAACATTTCCATACCATTACCATCACATATAGTGATGCATATCAATCGCAAGATGAAAGAGAGAAATACAGCAAAAAAGGACCACTGAAAAGCGATACAGAGAGAGGAGAACGGGTAAGCAGAATGTAGCCAGGAGATAAGTGGATGAGATGAATACAAATAGTCGGGGGCTGGGGGGAAGGGAGGAGCTGCTCACCCTCCCTTTTATCAGAGGAGAGATAAATGTGATTAATCTTAAAATAATAACACTAAAGGCACAAGACTTCTCATTCATCACCACTACAGTTCATGTAATTACAGACAAAAGAAATTAAACTGAAGAAAGGCAACAGTATAGAAGCTCTTCTAGACAAGAGAACAGGGCAGCAGAGGAGGAGGAGAAAAAAAAAGAACTATAGCGAGATATTAAAAAAAAAAAGTGAATTAAAGCACACAGATTTTCCTCACAGATTATTTAGCTATCCAGTCTGGTCTGTCAGGTAATGTGAATTATCACCTGTCAGCACACAATCAAGTCCCGTGACAGCAAAAGAAATAAATCAATCTGGAGGCTGAAGCAAACATATCTCAATTAGAAGCCACTTCATCAACTTCTTCCTCAGAGTCGAAATGTGCAGCACGTGACCAGACAATCGTCCCTTAAATCAAAACTCTCAGATGAATCCAGCTGTCAAGAACGTGTTCGGGTTATGCATCACCCCAAAATTAATATACATAAATCATTTGCTTGATTTTTTTTTTTTTTTAAGAATGGTGTGAAAACGGGCAATTCAGGTTAGAATCTGGGATGAAAATGTGCTTAAGTGCCATTAAAATAATGTCATATAACACCTAAATGTGCTTAAATAGCTTTAAGAAACAAAAAACTAAACAAAAACAATTTCTAGTTTTTTCTTGTGATTTTTCTGGTGAAATATGGCCCGGACATCTATCCTTGATATTCACCGGTCTTTTCTCCCTCGTTCTCTGCACGTTAACCGTCGTACGGGAGCTAAATCTCCCCATCCGCTGTAGAAAACTTATGCACCCACTTACTGGATGTTTGAGCTGTTCCAGTACACGGCGTGACGGTTGTTCCCGTGGACAGGGCGCAAGTTCATCCAGGCGAGCGCGAGGAGGTAGAGGGAAACCGCCGCGAGAGCCATTATAATATTCCTGCGTTCACGTGCACCTGCTGTGGTCTCTTCGCCTTCTTCGACTCTCAGTCCCCCAGTCCCACGCGAAACTAGCGGTTTTTACAACATTTCTGCGACTCCGCAAGTGGACAGGAAGTCGCAAAGCGTTTATTTCGCGAAGCCGTGCCGCAGTACGACTAGTTTGTTCAGTCACAGAGCTTCGCGCTTTCCCGAATGCAACTCCATGGCAGACAGACGCTCATCCAAAGCATCCTGAGCAGGTCTGTTGGAATTTGCTGAAACAAGTTACTGAATAATTCCTTTCTGAGACAAAACCCTCCGCAAAAGAAAAAAAATGGTAAGATAAACTGTCGATGGACGGTAGAGATTACAAAAAAGAGAGTAGCCTGCGTCGTCAGCGGCAGGTGTCTCTTTGGTTAGGTGACTGGCGTCGACTGGAGAGAAAAAGAACCCGACTCAATAAGTGTAAAAGACGATTTTGTCAGTTTACACAGCCATATATTGCGGTCAATTAACTTCTGTGAGCTTTTGTGAGATCCTCATGCGTTTACTGTGGTTTTGTCCAAGCGCACACACGATGTCAAACAGTAATAGGAAAAGTAAGGCAATCATAGGCGTCCTCACTGACACTCGTTTCTGCTCCCGCCACAGTATATGATGTTTGCTTAAAACTCTACTAAGATACCTTAACCTGGGGTGCGTTAAAAGCATTGTTAGCTAACTATGGTCGCAAGTTACATTGAACTTGACGGAACTTGTGACCATAGTTGCTTTTGGGAAACGCACACCTGGTTGGTTTTTGAAGACAGAATGCACCTTTATTGCCTGTGATATCGTATATGATTTCCAGTGGTTAGAAGAATAAAACTGATCTGTTGAGGTGACTGCAAGAAGAAAATTAAAGGGTTAGTTCACCCAAAAATGAAAATTCTGTCATTAATTACTCACCCTCATGTTTTTCCAAACCCGTAAGACCTTCGTTCATCTTCGGAACATAATTTAAGATATTTTTGATGAAATCTGAGGGCTCTCTGACCCTCCCATAGACAGCAAGGTAACTACCACGTTCAAGGTCCAGAAAAGTACCATGAAGAATGACGTCATCACGCCGGATCTGGGTCAGCGCCGGCGCCGCCACACGCTCGCGTCATGGTACTGTCGTGAACGAAAATGTGGAATAAAGTTATTTTTGCTTTCTTTGCGCAAAAAAGTATTCTCGTAGCTTCGTAACTTTACAGTTGAACCACTGATGTCACACGGACTACTTTGTCGATCATCTTGGTACTTTTCTGGACCTTGAACGTGGTAGTTACCTTGCTGTCTATGGGAGGGTCAGAGAGCCCTCAGATTTCATCAAAAATATCTTAAATTGTGTTCCGAAGATGAACGAAGGTCTTACGGGTTTGGAACAACACGAGGGTGAGTAATTAATGACAGAATTTTCATTTTTGGGTGAACTAACCCTTTATGTTATATGTAAATTTTTAATTTATGATTCAGTTTCTACTGAGAAATGGGTATTGCACTCATTAAATATTTTCTTGGTTCTTACTAAATCTCATTTGAATTTGTTGTTAGATCATTAGTCACAATGTTACAGTACAGTGACTTGGAAGTCTGTCTAGGGCTTTTCACACTCTATTTATCCATGGTTGTTGATGAGACCACAAATAAAATGTACAGTGTGAAGTGTCAGATTATGAATACAGAGAATTAATTGTTAGTATGCAGTGTGCATTGTGAAACAAGATAATCCAGGGTTGCCTGGAGATTATTATTACCAGGGTAAAATATAAAAAATGTGAAAAGCCTTAGGAGGTACCTGCAAACAAAAATGCTAGTTGTGTGCCATACATGCACTTGAAGTGTGCACTATGTACTATACTGTTTAGTGTATGACATTTAGACGGGTAGTTTGCCACCCAGCATTGGAGTGTGATAGCCAGTCCACCACCTCCACAATATTAAATGTGATCGTTAGGTGCATGCAGTGTCCAACATTCCACACCATTTTTTTTTCAGTTAAATAACAGTGCATCATTTAAGTATTTGAAGTGCACTTTTGTTGGAATTTTCAGTGTGAACTCATACTATTTATACACTACAAAATAGCATAGAATAGTGCATACGTATGCAAATTGGGATGCACCTACACTACCGGACAAATATTTGGAATAAATACGTTTGTTTTATGTAATAACTAACTCTTTTCTGCTCACTTATGCTGGGTTTATTTAATCAAAAATACAGTAAAACAGTAACATTGTGAAATAATATTACAATTTGAAAGAACTGTTTTCTATTTGAATTTTATTTAAAATGTAATGATTTCCTGTTACAGCAAAGCTGAATTTTCAGCATCATTACTCCAGTCTTCAGTGTCACATGATCCTACAGGAATCATTCTAATTTTGCTGCTCAAGAAACATTTCTTATTATTATAAATATTGAAAACAGTTGTGCTGCTTAATATTTTTAACAGTGATGCACTACCATTCAAAATTTTAGCGTGGGAAAAAAAACTGAAATTAATACTTTAATTCAACAAGGACACATACATTTGTCAAATAGTAAAGGCATTTATAATGTTACAACAGATTTATGTTTCAAATAAATGATATAAAATCATTAAGCAGCAAAAACAGTTTTTAACATTAAAATTAATAAGAACCATTATTAATAATTGAGCGCCAATAATAACCGACAATAACTGAGCACCAAATCAGCATAATGGAATGATTTCACAAGAATAAATTACATTTTAAAATGTACTCAAATAGAAAAGAGTTCTTTTAAATTACAATAATATTTCATAATATTACTGTTTTTAGTGTATTTTTTGATCAAATACATGCATAGGTTAGCATAAGAGACTAAACAAAAAACATAAAAAAATATTACTTATTCCAAACTTTTGTCCAGTAGTCTAAGTCTTTTACTGACTAGGTAGCAAAGACATACATAAATGCTAATGTGTACACGTTGTGAAGGCCTACTTTAATATATTATAGATTTGGACTTTACCAAAAGTTATTGCCATCATACAGAAATTGAATTTCTGTGCACTTTATGCAGTGTCTTTAAATCTCTAGGTTTATGCATTTGAAAACGAACCAATGATGTATGACTAATTGGTCTATCCTCTTTCTCTCGTCTCTCTATGTTGGCCTATTCTCATTCCCAGCATCACTCTTCCCCTCTTTGCTTTTCTTTCTTTCTTTCCTGTGTTCTCCCTCTTTCAATCCCTGCTCCCCTTCTCTGTTGTTTTTGTCAGGGATGCTGCCTCTCTTGTGTCCCCTCCAGGCATGTTGCTGTGGTGACAGCAGGAAAGGGGATGAGAGAGAGGGAGAACTATCACTTCTTTAACTCGCTGTATCTACCGTCCTTGCACTTGTCTGTGCATAGTATGCCATGTCAATTGCCTCTGTTGTCAATCACGTTTTTTCCCCTCCCTCCAGAGTCCATTTCTCATCCAGTATTAAACAGTTTCACTTGCCGTAGCCATATCTTTTATCTCAAGACTCTCACATTATCGTCTTGTCCCAAAATCAAAGTTTTGTTTGAGGAATGTCTGCTCTGAGTCTGACCCTTCAAATGGTTTTGTATCTACTGATAATAAGTATGTTTTCCTTTTATATGCCATCAGCATTATGTTTGCCATTTGCATGTTTACATGTCTTTTATGTGTCTTCTGTAATGAGATACGTTTGGCTGGGAATTTGAGTGATGGATATGTGCTGATGTGCACATTGTGGCTGAGACGTTGCTAGGCAGCGGGAGACATTAGTAAAACGGGGCTGTTTCTGTTTGCTTTCGTGTGTTGGTTGTGATTAATTCATGAGTAGCCCTGCTATGGGCACATTGATTATCCAGATAATCCATTATCATCAATATGACTAGCTGCAGTCATGTATCCTTGTTTGGTGTTTAATTGCTTTTCCCAAGGTTTTTATTCACGGGGCATGTGAGATCACACAGAGACGGGTGCGTTCTGTTCTCTGTTCTCCTCCCCCTCCGTTACCCGTCCCTCATCCATCTCATTTTATATGCCAACTAATTCATTCTTCCTCCCATATTCTCCCGTCTTCTGTCACACCACTAATCTGAACGTTTCAATCTCGGTCACAAATTTTATTTGTGTCGTCTTATTATTGCAATGATTTATTTATTGTTACAATCTCAAGTTTGTATATGCAACGGACTTGAATTCAAAAAAGCAAAATCACTTTTACTCAGTGCAAGAGATGTTGTTTAAATAGCAGTTCTTCTGTTTGCTGGTTAGCAAGCCTATTAAGAGCAATTTATGTTTGCACACACAACACAAAGAACATCACCTCCTTGCTTACATTTACTTGACAGTAGGTTAAATATGAAAAGCATTTTTCCTTGAACTTCTGTTGATGTTATCATCTGATGATAATGATACTTACAGAACTTTTTTGAAATTGTTTATATAAAATGTATGTGGAATATTAATTTCACATTATTGCACATACAGTGTCCACCAACATTTAGGAAGGAATGGGGTGGTCAACGTCAGTCCTGGTGAGTCCTGCAGAGTTTTGTTCCAACCTTGATAAAAACACACCTGCCTGTAGCTTTCTAGTAACCCTTAGACATAGATTAGCTTGTTCAGGTGTGTTTGATTAGGGTTGGAGGAGCTGAACTCTACAGGACACTGGCTGTGTCTGAAAACCAGGAAACGCTGCCTTCGGAGGACACATTTCAAGGTAGGAAGGCATCAAGGCACGTTCAAATCCAAAGTTAGCTTCACTTCCTGCCTCCTGAGATACCTTCATCTGGTCGATTTTTGAAGGCAGCATAGATGTATCCTTGGCTGCCTTTGATATCCCACAACCCTGTGCATTCCACTCTGATATGGTTGAGCTAAAAAAATAAAGATGGTTTGCAAAAGTTGCTTTTGGTGGTCAGTTTGTGTGTAAATGTATGTTTCTGACCAACTTTTGATGTTATTTCTAGTGAGAAATCAGTATTATAGTAATTAAACATTCGCTTAGATATCACCAAAGCTCATTCTATTTCGTTGTAGATCATTAAACCATTATGCTTCTGCCACAGAAGCATGTACAAAATCAGTTGCATGAAGTTCCACTGCGCACTGCCTGCAAAGTCATTGCCTGATAAGGCAGCGAGGCAGCAAGTCCGCTAGGTTTTTGGATGCAGCCTGTGGCTCTCCATGACTGATGTTGACTACCCCTGCTCTAGGTAAAGTTTGGTTTTGGACTATATTTTAGCATAAATACTGATACAATTACAAATTCTGATTTTATGATGACTTTGCATTGGCAAGGGGCATATTTTATTAAACATATCTATAATATTTTATTAAAATAATAATAAAATTTAAAAAAAATATTTTTTAAAATGAATGAATTCAGAACATATTCAAGAGAAAAACATTGGAGCTATTTATAAGCCATCTCTAAACTGTGTTCTGATTGGTGCATTGTTCTGTCAATCAATCCATCACGTTATAAAGATGTGGGGGTGGGGGAAACCCTGGGGCAGTGTAATTCAGTATTCAGGTGTCATAATCTGACTGTGACATGTATATGTGACACATGACATGTACTTTCATTCTGACGACATTGGTGAGCAAG